AATCTTCAATATAAAATTGTACAATGCCCGGAAATACGATCAGTGGAGAAGGACGACAGCTCGTGCTAAATTTATTTTTATTTATTTCCAGGAAGAGAATGAAAACAGCGGTCCCCTGTTACCCAATTCATGCGTACTGGAGAGAGTAGCAGATGCGCTGAAGATTAGTCTGCGCTCATGGTACGGAGATGAGATCGGTTTACTTAGTTCATATGGCGTTGACGACGTAACGGCCAAGAACGGTGACTACAACTAGAATTGTGGTGTTTGACGATTTCAAGACATTGCACTTCTTACATAATTGTTATTATGTTGATACATCGCTGTCACTTTGGTTGGCATTGGTAGACAAATAAACCAAAGTTTGCACTAAGACACTACACAGTTTCAGTGACAAATAATGAAATGTAAATATCTATTCGAATTCGTTGGCTTCAACAGACAACTTGCTGTTTCATTCTCGCACTGGTCGATTCTGATAATAGATGGCATCTTATTTCGATAGACATTGTATCCTAGATAGAGGACAGTTGCTCAGCTCCCGCTTGTTGACATACCTGAGATCAAGCTTAGACCATGCTGATAAGTTGCTAAAAAGCACGTCCATGGTTGGCCGTCTATAGTCGGACGAACGAAAACTATATTACAAGTTTGTTCAGTAGCGGGTAGACCGTATCTACTATAATGCTAGAATCGGCGGATTCTAGCAGCCACAGTGGTGACCTGGCTGCAGTTTCACTTTCGCACTGGTCGATTCTGGTAATAGATGGCATTTTGTGCTGTCTTGTTATAGTAAGTTTATGTGAATGTTATGAAAACTCTTCTCTCCTTTATATTGTCGAAAACAGAAATCTTGATTTATGTGATTTATATGTATCTATTTCTGTAACAAAAATATCTGACCGTGATTCCTACGCAGACTCTAATATAATTGTACAAAATAGGAGCATACGATTCATAAAGCATGTGTTAAATTTGGACGAGAGTGAATTCAGTGGCCCGTTTCCTGCGTATATAACTATGGTATATTTATAGAATGCTATAGGTGAGTAGATTTTTTTATTCGAATATACTGGGTTTCAATTAATATTTTCCGTAACTCTCATTTTTTAAGTATGACTTTAATAACCTTCTTCTTGTTATACGAGGAGGGATATTTAGAATGTTGTAGAAATGACAATACCATGTTCATTCGCTAGTTTCTGTTTTTTTTTCTGGCTTGTACTCTCTTGACGTGGTCATAGGTATGTACAACCAATCTGATACTCTATACAGAGTGTGTCTCACATATAACTGAAGCGATAAATTACACTGGTGAACAAAATTAAAATAATTGTTTCTGACATGGTCAAACAAGGTGTTTATTATGTAAAACGTACCCAAAAAGCCGGAAATAGCATTCCTTTTTTTCTATCACCCACGGTTTTCTTGCAATAAGGCATTTTATTTGCTGCTTATACTCGTAAAATATAAGGATATGTGTGTAAGAGTACTAATAAAGACTTGAATAAACATTAGTCTCAGAATGACGCTGTCGATGTTTTACGGCGATATGTTGCTCCTGAAGTATCTCTTAACAATGTCCAGCAATAATCTGCAAGCAAATTGACACTGCATTTGCCTTTATACCATTTTTCAATAGCAGAAATGTCTTGGTGGAACCGTTCACCATGTTCATCACTTATCGCACCTAAATTTTCCGGAAAAAATCGAGATGAGAATCCAAAGAGTGAATTTTTAGACATATGTTACATCCCATACCTTTATAAGCCTGTATTAGTTCACTCACAGTATCTTAATAAGTTGTCCGCCTTCAGCCTAAAAAAATTGCAGTAATTGATTTAAAAGCATTCCAAGCTCGTATATCAGTTTCATTTAGAGCACTGTCAAATACGTCCTCCTTCATGATTTTCCGTATTTGTGGACCCACAAATATGCCCTCTTTCATTTTTGCCTCACTAAGTATCGGAAATTTTTGTTTTAAATGCAGAAACCCCCTTGCATTTCCATCCATATCTTTCACAAAATTTTTCATCAGTCCCAACTTAATATGCAAAGGTGGAAGCGTCACGTTTTTGGGATCAACTAGTGGTTCATGAGTAACGTTTTTGAGGAACGGAGTTGACACCTGACGTAGTGGCCACTCCTTCTGTTCATAACGACGATCTCGCGCACGACTGTCCCATTCATAAAGAAAACAACAATATTTGGTATATCCCAGTTGAATTCCAAGGCTATTACCTTTAAATCTGCACATATGGCCCATCCATATTCATTATAACGGGTATGCTCTAACAGAACTCGCATATTTTCATATGATTCTTTCATATGAACGGCGTGCGCTATAGGTACAGATGGATATTTATTACCATTGTGTACCAATACTGCTTTTAAATTAAGCTTAGAGGAATCAATGAACAGCCGCCAATCTTTTGAATCATGTTTCTGTCCTAACGCGTCAAACAAATTGTTGACATCGGAGCAATATATCAACTCCCTTTCTTGACGGAAACAGTGTGTGAGGTCTTGTTGCCGTTTTCGGTAAAAAATAATATTAACATCACCGTAGAGAAGATCCATCCTTTCAATCTTGACGCTAAAAGTTCTGACTGGGATTTTGACAGATTTAATTCTCGAACTAAGTCATTAAGTTCGCCCTGTGTGATCAAATGCGGCGCTGTTGAACATCCTGGAAGGTCAAACGAAGGATCGGAAATTTTTCCGCTTTCTGTACCATCACTTTCAGAATCGGTGGATTCGACTTTTTCATCCAAAGACCAAGATTCTGGTGGAACTGGGACAGAAAGTTCATCACCATGCTTAACGGGCCGCAAAGCTGATGGTAAATTAAAATACTCAACGGTATGTTTCGATTTTGGTTCAATACCTTTAATATTTGTGAGGCAAAAATAGCAATCAGTAGTATGGTCTCTCGGTTTTCTCCAAACCAGTGGTACCCCAAAGGGCATTTTACGATTGTCGTCTGTTAACCAACCTGTTACCAACGTTGTACAAGTCTTACAATATATATGAGGGGCCCATAGTTTATCTTCGTCGCCAACTTCAATTCCAAAATAAAGTTCGAATGCTTTCAACACAAGGAGAGTAAAAGTAAGTTTTTGGGATTCAAAAGTTAGCTCACAAATCATGTGTTTATCAGTGTTATTCGAAAAGTTGATGTTAGATAATTACGAAAACTTGGGATTATGGTATAAGTGATGTGAGGAATTTGACAAAAAGATTTTCCACATGGTGGCGCTTCCGGTGGTGCCGGAAGTAGATAACAACTTGTAAAATGTACGCAATATTCTAAACGCATTTTGATGTATAAAAAAGTCACGAATGCGGGTCCATAAAATCCAATTAATTTTCCGTGTATTTTTGTTGTTTTCGAACGATTTGTCAAAAAAATCGGATGAAAATTATATTGTATTGTGTATTTTTTATATGGAATTCCAGTGTTCTTATAAACCCGTCATTTCAAGCAAAAAATAAGGTTAGCTTTGTATACGGTGATCACTTCGCAAATTAGTATTTTTTGGGCATGGCGCATTGAATTATTGAAAATGGGTCATTATATATGACTTTGACAAAGGTGGTGCATATAATGTACGTAAAAATGGCGTCAAGAAGGTTGACTCTGCACTTCCCACGCAACGTTGTCATCAATTCATAATCGATTATGTTCAGTACAGGCTATTCCCTCTGAACTAGCTACATACATGCATAACAAAAAAACTAAATGGATTAAGTCAGCCAAGCAGGCCCATGCAATTAGTCCATACTCCATAGTCCCCACCCATTTGATAACGCTAACGCTAGGGTTTCTTCGATGCTCTAAGTATCGAACATCTGGCCATGGTGCTGAACCAGATTAGTATATTAGTCAAGAGTCAATTAGACGCAGACAGCGCTCAGCGTATGAATGTTGCTTCACAGCCGCACGAATGCGTCCTCTTGTCGCGTCTACAAATATTGCTCTGTTTAATGGTAAATATACGGGGAAATCTATGATGTGTGAAATATCTAAAATTAAGGGAGTTTGAAGTGCATAAATATACTGCTTAGATGAGCTAACGAACATGGGCAATGGACACCTCAACAATGGTGTGCAATACAATGGAGTGATGAGGCCCGATTCGAAGTTTGTGGTGGTGACAGTCGCAGTAGAGTTATTCGCAAAACAAATGAAGGATTCCATGTTGACTGTCTGAAGAGAAAAGTGACATTTCCAGCATCCATTATGGTCGGGGGCAGTATGTCATCAAAAGGAGTAGGAAAACTTCATTTTATTGATGGAAAAGTGGATACAAACAAATATTTGGCAATTTTAGAAGAATCGCTTTTACCAGTGATGGAAGAATGTTTGACATCCGGCCAAAATTGTATATTTCAGCAAGATGTTGCAGCGAGCCATACCTCAAAAAAGGCTATAAAATGGATGGAAGAAAATAATGTACCACTTTTGAAATGGATTTCTAGCAGTCCAGATCTGTCACCTATTGAAACTTTGTGGCACGAGATGAAAAAGGTTCTACGACAACATCCTGCTCGTACAATCACCGAACTGAGACAAAAGCTTCAAGAAATATGGGATTGTTTTACACCAAATTTCTGCCAAAACTTGGTTAACACTATGCCCCAAAGAATTTCAGCCGTAATAAAAAATAAAGGTGATGTTACCCAATGGTAAAGGCATATTTTGGTACAAATCTTGAAGTGGGCCAACTGAAGTGGGAAGGGGCTCGTACATCTACCTAACTAGGGCGCATTAAATTTACAACAGCTAGTTCTACGTTGACATCTTGTAGAAAAACCTACATATTGTCACAAAAAACCTATATAATGTCAAAAAAAGAACCGACATCATGCGGCACAGGATTCGTTCAATCGGAACGGGTCCGACTGGAGCGAAACAACACTAGGTTGAATAGTTTAATCAGTGTTAAATCGACGTCAGTTTTACTGAGGGTTTCAAATTCTTTGAGATAGGTATATTCTATAAAGGCAAAATATTTATATTATGTAAAAATATTAAAAACATTGTGGTAAAATATTTCATATCTGGAACGATTTCCTTGAGGTTGCCTTAGACCTCTTGCTGCTTTTCAATCCCTTGGAGCTCTTTGTAGAGGTACATTCAGACGGTCGTTTAGACAATATATCTTCAATGAGCTTCATTTTCAAATATTCCATATTATTTTCTCTGATCTGTTCGACCTGAAAAATGTTAAAGCATATGATATCATGGATGTTTACATCAATAGGCGCAGAAGGGGCGTAGAATAGAGCCTGACCGAAGGTCAATTTCTTGGCACTCTATTATAAGTTGTATAAACCACGGTTCTAATTCAAATTTGCATCGAAACATAGGTAAAACGTATGTTGTAACTTCAGTATACTTCTGCCGTACTTTAATTATATCTGAGTACATCAGACAGCGGCATCTACTTGCTTAAATAAACCGCACATTCCTGAAATCATTATTTTACTTCCCACGCCTAATAGCTGGGAAGTACTAAAACCTCGAAAATGTTCGAAAATGAGATATTACGTTTTTTTAATGTCATATGACATACATGTACAACACGAACAACCATATCACTCGTTTCCACTGGTCTGTCGCTCTTGTCCGTTAATATTACAACCGCACAATAACTTGAGAAGTACCGCTCGGATTTCGATGACATTTTTACACAAGGCTACTACTGTACCAGTGATGCAAAAGCTTTGTAGTATTTGAAAATGGATCCAGTGGCGGCAGGGAAAACGTCCAGAAAAAAAAAAGAATATAAATCGCTCAAACTTCGTTTTTTGATGTTTTAGAGGATCCTGATCATTGAAAAAATTTTAGAGGTAAAAACATGGGGGGGGGGGGGGGGTGTTTGGGAGCGGGTTGGAGATAATTTATCTCAATATTATTATATTTCTGCGCTTCCAACCTTGGTAATTCTACGCACCTATAAGAGATATTTTAATCATAGATTTTTACTTAAAACTGCGCCCCTACCGGCCGCGGCTGCTGCTCCAAGCGACATGCGGCGAGCCGGCTTTGTGCAGTGTTCTGTTGTTTTGGTGACAAAACATACACATGCACTATTTTCTTATTTCAAGTACACTGTCGACCAGGAGCTTGAAAAAGATACAAAAAAGAACTCTAGAAGAAACTTCGCATCAATTTTTATGATACGCGTACAAATCGTTCAAAATATTCTAGGACCTGAAATTGGAATATTGCTGCGATCATGATAAATGCCATTATGCACATTCACGCGACGACAGTGCCAACAACCACTTATATCAGTTTTCGGGTGTAACTAATTTATGTTGCAATTCAATTTTCATCAAAAAGGGATAGATTTTACAAATTGACAAGATCATATGCTATTTGACAATATGACTGCTACGATGGACATTGTGTATGAACGTCCAAATACAGCATATGCTTGTGTCACAAATGACTTGGCCTTTTGTAAAATCTTGGAATTCTTTGCTCAAAATTAAATCGCAAAATAAATCAGCTACACCGGGAATCTGATTGGAGTGGCTGATGAAACTGTCGTCTCGTGAATGTGCCTATTATCATTTATCATTATCGCGGAAATACTCCAATATCAGGTAATAGGTTATTTGGGACGCTTTGTGTCATATAAATTGATGTAAAGTTACTTCTAAACCTCGTTTTTGTACATTTTTCGGATTCCCGATTATCTCTGGTCGACGGTGCCCTTGACCTCATAAATTGGTGCTATATTCTTTGTCTCCTTACCATGTTACTGTTTCAAACTTGAACTAATGAAGAACTGAACAACGAAAATAAATGAATGAACTTTGTTTATGGGGCTACAGTCCTTTATTGACCTGCAAGGTTTTGATGACTGTACTTCTATACAGTTGATGGTTCTCTGAAAAACGAAAATTGGGCATTTCATTCGCAGATATAAATATGAATATCTATTATAGTCAGGCCCCTTGGAAGGAGGGGAAGCCCACTTAATGCCGATCCAAATTACTATACATTAAAAATGTGCAAATGGTACTGTTGCGTCTCGTAGAACTTCAGATTCCACCATTTTTTCACTGGAAATACATAATACGATTATATTCCAAGCAGCGCTTAAGGCTACTTGCACACACACCGATTTTGGACGGCCGGTAAAATATCGGCCGATCACATTTTAATAGTAAACCATTGGAGGGCATTGAAGCTTGCACACTGGCCGACCACCGACCGCAGCCGGTTAGCAGCCGGACATTGTCACTGTGGTGCGCCGGTACCGGGAATATACAGGCATACGTGTTTGAATAGGAGCTTGCACTTAGACGTGTTGGTTGTAGTTTTTTGCTTAAATCGTTGGTTAGTTGATCTATATCTAAAGTCCATGGCGTTGATGATTGGAAGGGGACCAACACTTACAAGCTTGGTCTTTTGAATAAATATATTAAGCAAGCATTCCAAAGCTACGGCGGTACAATATATCATGTCACCTTATGCGGGTCCCACACGATGTATGTACAACGTTGCTTACAACGTTCGACACCCCACAGTTGGCAAGTGTGTCTCCTACACGATCGGATGAATTTTTTAGTCTCGAACCTTCGACGCATGGTGGCGCCAACGCCTATTATCGGTGTCAGTGTCGCGCTTGAACCTTTACAAATGAAGGACAAATTATGCAAAATGAACGATGAAACAATTTTTTCAAGTGTCGAAAAACTTTCAGATCTGTCTTCAGCGACCAAAAGTCAAGTCTGTCAGAAGCCTCAGAAATTTCGAAAAACGAAGTTTGACCGTTTCTTGTTTGTTTTTCGACGATAACTCCGCCGCCACTGTACTGATTTTCAAAAACTGCAGAGATTTTTTGTCATTTTCATAGTAGTAACCTAGGGTCAAAATTTCATCAAAATCCTGATAGTACTTTCAGAGTTACCATTTATTTTAACGCTTTTGTTAAGAAATGCAAGTCACTATATTTTTCAACTAGCCTTGCATTGCAACATGACATTATAATAAAACAATTCTTGCACTTGATAATTCATAATTTACTAAAATACATATCCTTATGCCAATCACAACTCACCTGCGGAACGTACAAAATATTAGCAATATGAAAAAAGTGATATGGCAACCTATGCTTTGTATGTATACTAATTTAATTCATTCTTCTCAAAAGTTAGGTACGGAACATACATTATTATGAATAGGTAGGTATTCAAATCAAAAGACTTCCCAGATACCACAACTTCACCACAATCACAGCAAACAAGTAAATAATGTTTTTCGCCGTTACTGGTTCTAACCTAAACCCATCTAACACAAGACATCTCGTGTGTGAGCGTGTCGTACCATGCTTCCAACGTTGTAACGTCCTTTGACGCCCGGTCAAATTTACCGAAAAGAGCCCGAACGTGCCCTGTGGCGAACGTTGGCCACATGTAATCCGTCAGCGCTCTCCCAAACGATGTGGCGAATGGCCATGTGTCCAACATTGTAAGGAATTCGCCACATCGTGTGGGACCGGTTATTCTTAAAGAAAATCGAATGACGATGTCGATAATGACAGTCGTAGCTGTCGATGAAAGACTGTCAATATTGGCAGTGTTGCCAGTCGTGTTTCCACTGCATACAACTTGGCTAGTTTTCCTGCGTTGCACATTACTAGGCTTCAGTTGACTCCACATGGTACCCCACAGGTATTTCTGCTGCGCCATAGCATAGTGTTTCCTATGCTCTGACCGCGTGTCCACGTCTGCCCGAGTTATATATCGGGCACGGGCCAAGCTTCCAGATACACTACGGGTAGTACAGGGAAAGAGTATTTATGAACTGATTGTATGGACCTGTTTGACTGCATTTTTTATCAGAAGGTCTAGTTTATGCTGAACATAATCTTTTATGAACTGATAATGGCACTGCGTGGGAAGAGTCAATCTACTTGATTCCATGTTTTTCTGATACACATACGGTTTTGCTTATAAAAAATATTCTTTCATCGACATTGTTAAAGATTATTTATAAGTAGGTTGATGCTGCACTTCTCACGCAACGCTGTCATCAGATAGTAAGTGACTATGTATTATTATAACAAAAGACTATGAACATGTATAATATTTAAAAAAAAGTGGATCAAATGTGTCAAACAGGCCCATACAGGTAGTCAATGCTCCTCACACCTTTGATAACGCTGTGATCTAGAAACTTCTTCGCTGGCCTTTCTGAAAGTATGGACACTCTGGCGACCTTAGCCGTACTGTGCTGACCAGCTCAAGTAGTGTGGCGATGAGAGATTCATGCGGCAGCGGCAGGTGCAGAGATGTTGTGCGCACCTAGATACGACACGTCCATATGATATTTCTCCACGTTTTAAGAGCAAATGTAAATATGAACATTCTGCCGCTAAAAAGTTGAGATAACTCTCCCTCACTCCTAAGAACCCAACCCTCAGTTTTTAAGCTCTACAAAAATCTTTCTGAAAATGGTCAATAGCCTCTGAAACGCCAAAACACGAAGTTTGGATGTTTTTTATTTTTTTCCGCCACTGGACCGACTATCACAAAGCACAAAACTTTTCCATCCTTGACATAGTAGTAAAATTGTGTTAAAATTTAAGCGGTATTTTCCAAGTCATAGAGGGGTCAAGAATCTGCGGACAGACAATGCCGATGAGAAAAAGGAGAGGTTCCATTTGAAAATATTTATTTGACCTTGTAATGACCTTCAATGTCCTGGTCAAGCTCATTGTCAAGGTCACATTTATTTTGTCCCCTCGAAACCCTATAACTTTTGTTTGAAACATTTTTCTAGAATGCACGGTTTTCGATATCAAAGTTTCATAAATTTGAAATGCTAACTGTTTTACGTACCTTACAATGACTGCATTCAAACAATATTTCGTAAAATTCCAGGAATGTCAGTTTGTATTTGAAAGTTTTTGGCTTCTCAACCATAGGACATACTTTATGGACGCATTTCACTATTGTTGTCCGTCCTAGATCTCTAAAGGTATACAAACTTCTGTAGAATTCGTCAGTCTCCTTGGTTCTCTTCGGACTCTGGCACCTGTCTAGATTGAACCACAAATCATTGGTATCTTCTAAAATTAATGCCTGCTCTAAGAAAATAATATCGTATATTGTAGAACCACTCCACCTTTCTACTATCATTGTCAGATGCAATCCGACTCGTGTGATCTCCTTCGTTTCTATTATGTACTACCATTGATTAATGTATTCTACCTGAAGATAGCAAAATAAATACTGTAGCGCCCTTGTATAACTGGAACTCTGAGTACCCGCGAGACACTCTCCAGATTTGAACTATGCCGCCGTGTATCAAGGGCATTCCTTGCACCCAGAATACGTGAGGGTTCGCGGCGGCATCGGCATCGGGAAGTATCTAATACACACAACCATCCAGATGAATCGATCGACATCTAGGGAACTTTGATAAGGCGCGGAATTGCTCTGGAATTATATGTATATGGAAGCTATAGTCCAGTTGACATGATGATATATTTTTCATAAATGAGTTGCAAGTATTGTGATAAATTATTGTAATAGTAATAAATTAGCTTTATACAGAGAACACGGTGTTTTCGTTACAATACTATATTCTAGCGTTTAAAAAATTATCCGAGAGAAAAATCTACTCTGAAAAGGTTAGTGTCACATAGATGATGCTATAGCCAAATTTATGCTAAATGCTGATGTAGTTGACTGTAGTTCCATTTATGAGACACTAACCTTTCCAAAGTAGGTTTCCAATTAGTGCGAAGCGAAGAAAAATAATTGTGACAATTTCTCATAGATGAAGCTACGGTATCACATTTAATTTCGGATATATTTTTGGACGCGGGGATATAGTATTAGGTTGGCTATCTTCAGGTATAGTACGTTAGTCAATGGTACTAGTTATCATTCAATTGTAATAACTATACTATTCGTCATTTGTTTGTCTGGCCGGTCAGTAGGACCTTTACCCATAAGTCATCACTGTCGAATGAACGTTAGTTGAATCTGTCAGTCCTGGTTTCCCAGAAACCAGGCAACGTCAAGGAAAAAAAAGAAAGGGAAAGAGGAGAAAAGAGAAGAAGAGTAAAGAAAAACGGAAGTGTATTAGCTTTAGGGGAAACATCTAGGCTTTTTGACTTGATACAGGTACGGATTAATTTCGAGGTGAACTAAAAAGAAAATTTGATTCAGGTTTTGTTAGACTGTAATTTTGAGTTTACTAAAAGTGTGTAATCCACCGAGTCACGCAACAAAGTGTTGTTGTGCGATTCCGATTGACTATAACGTCGCCGCGCCTTGACATAATCCCTCAAGTAAAGAATGTCAAGCTCTCTGAGTAGTGTCTCATTAGAGACATACCGTGGAGCGTTGCAAATTGTTCGTACAGTTCTGCTTTGCTACATAACAAACGATATAGTTGCCGAAACGCAATTTGGCATTTTGTTTCAATGTTGCTGTGTTTCTGCCAGGTCATGCCTTTATCAAGGGTTATACCGATACTTGGCAGACTTTGTCCATGGTATACAATTTCCGTCTACAGAAACCTCAGTGACGTTTTTAGTAGTACTTCGTCCACCACACTCTGCAACCCATCGTGAACCAGATTACCATTATACGACTGGGCGACAAGTGCGGTGTGGTCAGCGCAGATGTAGACTTCACAGTTGCTGGGGCAAGGGACGTCGTGGATAAAAAGCGAGTAAATGATTGGTCTTAGGACCGAGCCCTGACGAACACCATCCCGTACTGGCCGTATTGTTGGCAAAACATTGTTAATTTTGATCCGGAACTTCCTTCCTCCATGGAAGGGTTTCAGTAATCTTAGAAGCCAAAAAGGAGAACCCTTTTCATTCAAAAGCAAGATGCCAGTACTCATTCTGAGGGTGAATCCTCTGGTCACGTATTCCACCAGTATGACTGCCTGTAGCTCGGTACTATGCTCGGATAGAAAGCTGAATTGAACGTCAGCAATCACATGGTGATTTGACGAAAAATTCTCAAGGTGACCATACATCACGTTTTCGGTGAGCTTAGAAGGAGCTGACAGCAGACTAATGGGAGGGTAATCCTGAGGAAGTATCTAACCCACCTTCTTTGGAATCATGATGTCCTCAGTAGTCTTCCACCCAGCAGGTAAGTACTGGATTTTGAGCATCGCATTGATTATTGTCACCAAATATGTCAGAGCTTTCGGCGAGAGCACCATCAACGCCTTGTTGGATTTGTAATAACTGTGTGTTGCTTAAACGTCAAACATGGGCTATTGATGTGATGTATTCGACTTAATGTAACATCTGCTTCCGAAATGGCAGTAGCGGAAGCCATGCATAGCCTCCAGTCTAGTCTAAGCTATACATTTTATCAGTTCAGATAAATGACTGTCGTTGTGCCATTCCCCCATAGGCCTTGCGTGGACAAGTGCAAATTATTGCAATTAGATCGCTATCATCGCTTTACCTTTGTAAGACCGATTGGTTCCCAAACCGATTTGAACAATATATGCGCGGAATTTCCGTTTACTCATTTTTCCATCTAGTGACTCTATTATTCACCTTTTTCAATAATCTTCTCCAAAGGTGTACACCTTACGCCAACATAGCTTGGTTTCTCCCCCAATAGTGTAGCATTAAATCCATCCTTGATCGGATCACATTCTGGTTGGATGCCTATATAGCATGGTATTTGAACGCCTTCATTTGGACATGACGAATTGAGGAACATGTTGACGGTGTGAGGTTCGCCCAATGATAAATAAAGGTTGTAAGCACCATCTAGCGGCAATACATCCTTATATCTCGTTAAAGCAACACCTGAAAAAATAATCTTATTTTCGTTTGTCATTTTGGACAATCCCAAACCAAGCTACAAGTGCCTTTGACCTTGCAAAAATCGCTTCCATTTGAGCGCCAATTTCAATTTTGGGAATATTCAAAAGTCACAGGGAGCTATGTCGGGACTGTACGGGGGCTCGCGAAGCAGTACAATTTGTGTTCCGCAAAAATCGCTGCATAAGGTTCGATGAATGCGTGGGAGCGTTATTGTGGTGAAGAAGCCAGTCACCGCTTGAACAGAAACGTTTTCTTCTCACGGCATCACGCAAGTTTTTCAGAACTTCAACGTAATACTATTTGTTGATAGTCTGACCTCTTGGAACTAATTCGTAGGGCCAAAATCGAAAAAAATAATTAGTTTTGACTTGACATGGCTCCGACATTAACGTGCCGTGGCTCTTCTGGCCGCTCCCACTGTGAATATTGTTGTTTAGTTTCAGGATCGCATCTACAAACCCATGCATCATCAGTAATAACCTTCTTAAGGACGTTTTCATCATCACTGACTATTTCCAAGTTATGCTGGGCGATTTCAGGGCGAAGGTCTTTCTGCTTGGTCGTGAGCAATTTTGGAACGAATTTCGCACACACGCTTTACTCTCAAAATCTTATTCGAAAATTTCCAATCAGTAGATAGTTTTCGGTATTTCGAGATCATTTTTCAGTTCTCGAACCTTTAATCGCAGGTCGCACACGCTCGATGCTTTTCAGTGTCGTTGTCAGCGAAGCTCGGTCAGGATGAGGGTCATTGTCAACATATGTGCGGCCACTTTTAAACCGCCTTGATCTATGCTCTATCCATACTTCCGTCCCCAACAGCCTTCTGTATCATTTCAATAGTCTCCGTGCAACTCTTGCCGAGACCGAAGCAAAACTTGATGAAAACATGTTGATCTATTATTTCTGACATTTTCAAGAGTAAACAAATGCGACGAATGAAAAAATACATCAAATATAAACACATGCTGCTCGCGACCCAAGGCGTCATCCCAGTAACTACGTCATTCAGGGATTACTACTGGTTACTCGCATACCCCGCAAAGGCTGCTCGAGCGCCTGGCGTGAAGATTGTCGGATACTTTTCGGACACACCTCGTTTAGTCGATTTATTCTAAAATATCTCTCAAACTAGAGAAACATTATACGATCTGTTGACTTATTTACCTACGTCCATCTCTCTGGTGTGGCTTCCTGATTAGGTGGCCTTGCTTTGGAACAGAGACAACTAAGGCCAAACTCAATAAAATTCAGCGTTTGGGTGGTACCAGCCGCAGTTCGGACAACGTTATTGAATGCAATCGAAGCTCTGCAGGATCTACTGATCTGCAGAGAGGCGAGAGTAGTAACACATCGACTGTGAAGTCAGGACAGCTGGGCATTTTTAAATTCTGTCAAGGGTCGCACTGCTATATTGGTAGTACTGCAAAGGAAGGATTCCGTTTTTCCGCGCAGGGGTGATGTGATTACCCTGAACATAGCTTTAACAGCAAGTGTAATGTGGAGCATCCATCGAGGACGGAATTAAACTCCGGGATCCGGAAGGTCTCCGAATAGACCGGGAGCTGTGGGCAAAATTGGGGGGGGGGGGTCATGTGATACAGCAGGAAACCTACTCAGAACGATATTACTACATGAAAAATTAACTTCTAGCACTATGCCGTCACTTGAGAGCGGTACATGTAAGTACAGGGGAAAATTGAATTTTCTGTCCAGAAGGGGTCGGAAAAGTCTAAATGATTTTTTACGGCTTTCTTTAGTATCACAGATGCCAACAATATAATCACGATGCACTTAGTGCCGTACGAAAATACTGGTGCCGGAAGCCATAAAAAAATTTTAATTTTCAGGAAATTTTCTATGCGGAAAAATTAATTAACGTACGGCATTGTTACAGTTACCTTTCTGTAATTGTTTACATTTAAAATTTACCAACGCCGTACATATCTGCTGGTACAGAGGTGAGAAAATTCGGGTCGCAACCCCTGCTTTAGACCTCTATGGTGGAAAGTCATCGGAAAATGTACGGCATTCATTTCAATCTCTTGTTTAACATCTAAAATAACTTTAAATAATAATGCCATCTTAAAAATTTAGTGCATATAAATATAAATAAATAATTTCCAAAATTTGGGGGTGCAATATCATTTTCTTACAATAAAATCATAAGATACTATACGGCAGTCAATTTTTTTACAAAATTATATTAAATATTATCATTTTACCACTTAGCCGTTTATAACAAATGGAACAACATGAAAATATATTAAAATAAAAAAAATATAAATTTTCAAAAATTTAAAGATTTTTAAGTGTATAAGTGATATTAAAAATGATTCTTGCTATTTTATGTTTATCAAAGATTAAAAAACAAAAAAAACATATGTCGAACATTTTTATTTACATACTTTTTTGCAGCGCATAAAAATATTGATTAAGTTTTAGGTGTCTCTAATGGTTATTAAATACTGTACGGCATAAACAAAACTATATTTATAACTATAAATGATTATGAAAAATTATTATGCCGTTCATTTTACATGGAACATTACGTATAAAACGGTGAAGTTCTGAGAAATATGCAGTTAGACTGCGATTTTGAGACTCGGTTACTTGCTAAGCGCCTGAAAGTTGACAACAAGATAATAGAACTCTGCGATGTAAGAGCGGTACATATATGTATTAATGACCTTCTTCTAATAATCGCTAATTACAATATTCAAATATTGTAATTAATGCAATTGCTAATTGGCAAAAGTACAATTTGCAATTGCCTATTAAATATTAGCATTTTTTCATTATCCTTCACAACAAAGCTTTATTTGTTAAAAGACGGATAATTTTAAATCTTATTATCTAAAAAGTTCGCGTGACTGATTTCACAGAAAATCGTCAGATTTTTATCATTCAAGTTCATTTAAAAATACTAAAATTTACTAATTATTTATTATACACGGACTGTTACTCAACAGTGCGAACTTTATTATTTTAATTTGATAGAAAATATCGAGGGGCTACCGACACGATTTAACTGATTTAAATCACTCTTAAATCACAGTTAAATCTTAAATCACAATCGAAATTTGAAATATCCCTCAAAAATATAAAGTAAAACGCGTTATAGAGGTTTTCGAGGTTTTCCCCGTGTGGCCATATATTCCCCGAAAAATGTACGGCATTATAAAAATTGTCGTTAATTTATAAAATACTATTAAAATTATTTAATTTTAAGTTGTATCAATTCACCACCATTATACTATATAAGGGTAGGGGGTTGCGACCCAAGTTTCCAGGCGGAAATATTTTCGATTGTGGCTTGCGTATCCTGCCTTTTGGAGGGGGAAGTGTATAGGAGAAAAATAACAGTCTTCTCCAACAGCCCGACTGCGATGAAGGCACTAAGTGCCTGCAAGATTACTTCGAGCCTTGTATGGAAATGCTTATCTTTGGATAGAGCCAACCTAAGGCTGCTGGTGGGACTGGTGTCCAATGTTGCCAGGTTCAAAAAATAAATATCACTAGAAATTTTGCTAAAAAATCACTAGATGGAATAAAAAATCACGAGATTTTTTATTTATATATTTTTTTTATATTTAGAGGTAAATAATAAAATAATAAAATATTTTTTCAATTTTTAAGGCTTTACTTTTAAAGACAAACAACAAAAACGTACATTGGAACAGACACTTAAAAGAAACCATAAATATAAACAGACAAAAGTAATAAAAAATATATTTGAAAGCTTAAAAACGTAACAATAAACATGAAATTAAATACAACTTACTTAAAACTACATTAGCCTAAACGAATTAAACAAAAAATGACTTTCTTGCGAGTACATACTATTATGTAAAAATATTCTTAAAACTCTCTTAAAACAAACAACAAAAACGTAAATTTGAACAGACTCTTAAAAGAAGCCACAAATACAAAACCATCAGACAAAAGTAACAAAACACCAAATATATTTCAAAGCTTAAAAACGTAACAATAAAAACGAAATTAAATATAACTTATTTAAAACTACTTTGAAATAAACAAATTTGACATTCTTACGAGTATCCATGTCATGGATTTCCGCTGCTCCTGGAGCTTCATCGAATGCTTCAATTCTAAATTAATTCTCTAGAGCATCATATTGCTCAATAATTCTACTTACAGCGGAGATCAGTGACAGCCATCTGGTCTGTGATGAATGCAATAATTTGTGGGGTTTGACGTTAAAAAATGTTTGAAATTCTTGAAATTCCGAAAATAATTTAAAACTGCGATGCATATATGCTTCTTACCAACTTTTCTGCATCGTCCGGTAATTTTTGGCAACCAGAAGAGGGACAAAGAGCTAAAGAGTGGCATATGCACTTCATGACATATAAATCCGGTATATCGTTAGTTATCAGAATCAGAAGTGGAGTCTTCATTTGTTGTACTCGGTCTCGTTTCCTCGGATACTTCTTAAACTGAAGTAGACGCTTTGCTTGGACCTGGTTGTGGAAATAATGACCGAACTGCGTCATCTGTTTTCTTAATTGTCAAAAATTTTTTCATCATTTTGGTATCTGATGACCTGAAAAACAAAAAAGGTTTTAGCCTTTATTACAAACTAACTTTTGCCTCAATTAGGTATAGATTAGCATTTTTTTACTGTTAACTTTATCTCATAAAATATTTTGTAAAATAATATGATTTAAAAAAAAATTCAAATATATACATACCTTGTGTCCCAGTTTGCTTGTAATTGCAGGGTATCTTGGATATTTTTAAAGATAGAACTTTACAGATTTCAGGAACCTGTGCCACTTTTTTTTATAATAATTAATGAGGGGCATGAATACAAGGTGCTCATATTTTATTTCATACTCATATTAATGTTCAAATTCAAAGTGCAAATACAGGGTGTTCCATGAAAAAAAATTAAGTTAGGGTCATAACTCTTGAACGACGCCTCTGATTTTTTTTTTCGAGCACGCCACTGAATACGCAGAAGAATCTATCTAAAGCAGTTTTCACGTTTTTTCTATCTTATACAGGGTGCGAGCTATGGCAGTGCCCTAAAAAGTGAAATTTTTCGTTTTCACCCTGTATTTCAGTGGCAAAACGAGTTAGCTTAATTTTGTTTGTAGCCTTATTAGTTTCGTAAAAAGGTGGCATAGGTTCTCGAAAAACACAAAGTTCTGTATTTAAAAATAACTGAGATATCCTGCAATTACAAGCAAAATGGGACACCCTGTACTCACTAACTACAAAATATTTAAGCTAATAATACAGCGAATAATAATATGTATATAATAACTAATTTTTCTATAAAAACCAAATTTATTAGAATAATAATTTGACCTACCTTCCTTTTATTTTTCACTCACTTAAATTCAGTGGTTTGTGAAACGTACACGTAAAACGTATCACTAATGAAGACGTAAATCAATGAACAAAGTTACAGAATAATGAGTAATGCTCACTAAAGATGAATATTATAAGAACGAAACAAACACCCGTTACGAAGCCTATATATAAAAATAAAGTGTGAATCCCCGAGAAACCTTATGTAAATCCCCGCGCCAAACAGGGTTGACCACTAGTCTAGATTCATTTCTTTGCATTTGCGGGGCTTCACATAAGCTTCTTTAGCAAACCTATGCGAATCCCCGCGCCGAACAGGGTTGACCACTCGTCTAGATTAATTTCTTTGCATTTTGCACAACATGCAAAGCATAATGCGTTGCCTAACTTCTCACTAGAAATTTGCAACAGGTCAATATAAAATCAAGTCAACCGCCAATACTTTGTGCTGTTATGCAAAATGCAGAGAAATTAATGTAGACTCTAGTGATCTGCGGGTTAAAGACTATTTAAATCTTGTCGTCATACAACCTAACCAGAAAAGCCTGAGATACCTAATATAAAATAATTTGTTCTAATATTTTAATTTTTTTGATATACTTTTTTGCTTAAAAGGATGCATTTCTATATTTTTTCATTCTATTTTTCATTTTTTTTAAATCATTGGCAATACGCCATTTAACAAAAGTTTTCAGTAAATCACTAAACTTGTTCAAAAATCACTAGATCTAGTGAACTTTCACTAGACCTGGCAACATTGTCTGGCCAGAACACGTTGAGGCGCCACCTGGATGTGATGGGGGTGGCTGAGGTAGTGAAATAACTTCGAAAAATCATAATATAAATTTGTTGTCATCATGTTTCTGACTCGTGATTTTATCATCGACGTACGTCCATTGATTACTTCAGTACAATTTATGGTATGACGTTATAGTAATCTGTCGTGATTTTGACTATATTACATTTATTACTTTGAAAACGCCTTCTAATTGGGCGAAATTGCGCCGTAGATTAAGCGTAAATCTTGATTTAATAGTAAAATCGGGCCCACTATGCTATCAGCAGTGGCATACTAAGCAAATGTTTCGTAGACATTTAGGCCCGTATCGTCAGTCATCCCTACAATTGTAGGGCGCGTTTATGGCCTCCTTGATTGTCATACTCCTTTCTCTCCTTCAAAAATTTCTAGATTACACTTGTCCCGTATCAGTGTCAGCGCTCTTCTATTGTGAAGATATGTTTTCTTTTTAAATTGTAGGAAATTTCAGGCTGATAAAGCATGATATAACTTAAAAGCAAGCACAATTTAATGCAAATAGATGTTTGTGACATAACCTCAAAATAGAGCGCTGACACGGAGAAGTAGAAAACTATGACAATCAAGGAGGCCATAAAGGCGCCCTACAATTGTAGGGACGACTGACGATATGGGCCTTAATTATTTACTTAAGATTTAAGCTTATCTTACCTTTGATACTGTCACTATTGGGAGATATAACATATTCCAGGAACCTTTTGAATATTTGTGACACAAAGCCTGTCCCTAGCTCGTCGACAGCTGACCCTGGAGGCAACATGTCACCCATGCTTATGCCAGCAGGATGGCATCTGTTTAGGTAATACTGCCAGGCGGCCACTACAAGACATTGGAGGAACTGCCAGAAGAAAATATGCTCGAATGGGTAGTGGGGACCTAATGCAGTAACAAAAGAATGCCTTGTTCATAATTTATTTTCGTAATCAAATAGACTTGCCGCTGGCTGACAAATTGTCAGAGTAACATTCGGTACTCAGATAGATCCCAGATAGATCGACGGATTCGAATAGGTTGGAAGTCAAGCTTATATGTTTACAGGACAGTATGTATCGTCAACAAAACGTATATTTGATGGATACTTTGACTAGATTGGCCTACCAAAGCCTATCAGTGCCGATCAAAGTGACAAACCAGTACATCGGCGTCAGAAAGGACGCATGTTTTTCGAATGGATACTACGAGTACATCGAGTGGGCTGGTCCCGCGGCGGTGGGGAAGGGCGTGTTGGATAATGGGAGAAGTGCCGTTTCAGTTGGCAAGATGGTTTGGAACGTTGAGCATCGTGTATTCACTGTACGTCGGTAGTTTTAAAATGGCGAGTCTGTCGTTCGAACGCAACGTGAGTTTCGCGTTCACTTTCGTGAATCCAAGTTTGTCAACAACTGTTGGCAGGGGATTATGCACAACGTTTTAATTTTGCGCAACTCATGATTGAACAGTTGGCTAACAATGACATGACGTTGTTTATGAGTGATGAAGCACATTTTCATTTACATGGATACGTCAATAAACAAAATTGTCGATATTGGTCTCCAGTGAACCCCCAACAGTTGCATGAGCACCCCCTGCATACCCCGAAAGTTAGTTTGTTGTGCAGTAGGCCCAACAATGATTATTGGCCCTTATTTTTTGAGGATGATGGAGAAACAACTGATGTGAATTCAGAGGGTTACATCCACATGCTGAACAACTTTTTAGAACTTCTTCGGCAAAAATTCCCAGGACGTCTCATTTCACGTCACGGCGATATTCCATGGCCCCCTCGCTCCCCGGACCTGTCAACGTGTGATTTTTGTTTATGGGGCTACCTACAATCAAAAGTTTACCAAAGTAAGCCTCGGACTCTCATCGATTTGAAGGACGAAATAAGAAGGGAAGTAACCCAAATTCCTGCACGCATGCTGGCCGACGCAATGGGCTCATTTCGGGAGAGGCTTGATTCCTGCATTTCGGCTCAAGGGCGCTATATGGCCGATATAGCTTTTAGAACGTATTATTTTTTCTAAAAAATGGCATGTATTTTGATATAATAAAATATTTTTTTCCCATACATATTTTGCCTGTACTACTCATTTAAAAAATATACGTTCTTTCTGACGGACCCTGTATGATGCTATCCAGAGAGTTTGAGAAACAACAATAGTAAGAAAGATAATAATAACGTCAACAGCTGTAAATGGAATAAAGGTTGTGCTCTTGAAGTCAGAATCCAGCCCCAGGTACTGGGGAGAGCCGATGTTGTTAGATAGGCAATACTACCAATACTGCAGAGAAAGAATGTTTATGGATTAATTCAATGGACCTGTTTGTGGTAAGTGCAAAGTCAACTTGATGCTATTTGTTGCATATTTTTATATTAATACCTCGTCATCAACGTCATAGAAGCCAAAGTCAGTGAGAGTCACGACCACTGTTACAGAACACGCATATTGTCTCTACTTCCAATTTGTCCGCTTCAGACGTTATCCTTGGCATAGAAGGGCTGTTGTACATAGGTACTGACTACTTTTGAGAGAACATAGAATACTTACCGTATTCGTAGCAACTGCAAGGATTTGCATACATGAAGTTGTCGTAATCAACAAGAGATACGAATTTTTGAATGTTGACGTCTCGTAACAACTGCCATAAGAATAGCCGCACCTATTTAGATACAATAAATATGAAATATTTCGGAAACCATGTATGTGTTTACATCTCGTAGGTCTCTTCACTAAATACTACCACGTAATACATGTTCAGTTCGGGAGCTTTCTACATGCGCGACTCAAAGACGGGTGTTTGAATGGGTCATTTCAAAAACAGTACCAGTATTCTTGACTTGTTTTATTTTCTTATTTATGTGCGATATGCATCAAAACCATTTTTAATTGGTTATGGTCCTTATCCGCTTTGACCGAAATCATTTGTTTAAGGGTTTTCTTGTTTCCTACAACTATTGACTCAATCCTCCTCATTTGTATGTCCGAAAAAAATCCTTAAATATATACTCAGTGACATTAGGAGTGTTACTCCAAAAAAAAGATAATTTCTTCAACTTGATTTTTTAGCAACGAGGAGCTCTTACACCAAAAATGAAACGATAGCATTCTCACGAAATGTTATTGACAAGTGATAAGAAAAAAATTAATGTGTTGGGCGACCCCGCAGCTGAATACATTCTTGTATACGTCAGGACATCGACAAAATGAGATGCTCGATGTCTGGTTGTGGTACCTTATTCCAAGCAACTCGAACTTCGTGGATTAGCTGTGGTAGAGTCTGTGGCAAATGGTGCAAAGTGGGTAGTCCCCCCCATCATATCCCACACATATTCGATGGGATTTAAATCCGGTGAACGGGGTGGCCACGACAAAAAATTAACGCCTGCTTCTTGAAAAAAGGCCGTAGTACGACGAGGAATATGAAGACGTGCGTTGTCTTGCTGAACAAAGACGTGTGGACGGCCCTCTAGATACGGCACTATAGTTTCTTGTAGGACATCATCAAAATAATGCGCAACAGGCACATTGCCTTGAACAAAAAGAAGGGGTGATCGGCTACCATAGGGATTAGCCTACCAATACATTACTCCAACCTTCCTGTATACATGCATCTCAACAGCAAATCCAATATCACGCCGTCCTCCACGGCGGCGTCTTACCTTCCTACCACCATCATGCGTACCTGGACAGAATCGCGATTCGAGGCTGAAGATGACATTATGCTATTGTGCCTGCCAATGTTGCCGTTCTCTGCTCCAGTTCAAACGTTGACAGCAGTGGTCCGCAGTCAGAGGAAGCACCAACTGTGGACCGAATGAAAAAAGTCTAAAGGCTCGAATGCGACGATACAGTGTACGTGTAGTAATAGATCTACCTTCTTGTCCAAACCATTGGTCAGCGATCTGACGCGTAGTAGCAAAACGGTCTCGTAAGGCTAGTTGTGTGAAGCGCCTACCTTGGCCCTGTGGTACGCCTCGGTGGAGCAATTGGTCTTCTTCGTGTGCCTCTACCTACTTCTATCCACACACGACACACACGCAATTAATACGGAGGCCATTTTCGCGTTAGGACATACCAACATCTCGACAAAGTCGCTAACATGGTGATAATTTGGGCGTTTTCGAACTCGAGGCATTTTGCTATGCTCAATACTAGTAAATGAAAGGGCCATAACTAAAAATATCTGTACTACTCAGCTCTCAGAAACTGCTTTCTTCATAAACATTAAGAAACAACAGTTTAACAAAGGTAGACAGAATCAAAGATAAAACGTTGACATTGTTGCCACAGCATGCTCTAAATATAGTTATGTCGCTAAAAAAACAAGTCGAAGAAATTATTTTTTCTGGGTGCAGTAGTCATAATGTCACTGGGTAGAATTTTAAATGGGCTATAGATAGTAGATGTATAGATTACATTACACGCACCACACTTATCTAGCAATGCCAATTTTTTTGGTTTGGATGTAAAAAGAGACTAGATGTTTGCTTTGCCCTGGTTTCCTCTAGCTACCTCAAAAATATTAAAAGATGCAAAATTTAGACATCTAGTATATTAAAAAGTCAATATTCAAATGTATTTCAATAACCAGCATGAAAACTGTGAGTAACATGATGCTTTTGCTTAAGTTATACAGGTTGTTTCAGAACTAAGGGATCAAACTTCTAGGGGTTATTCAGTGTAACAGTAGAAAACATTTGAGTTAGAGGCGTTAAGATTTAGAACGACGATGAATTGCCTAAATAGGATTTAATGCATTTAATTTTTACCTTTTGTACATTATATCATCACAATTGTTCAAAATGTCTTCCTCCAACCTGAATACACCGATTTAAACGTCGCACATGATTTCGGCGGACTTGACTAAACATTTGATACTCGTTTTGAATGATTTCAAATGCTGCTGTAATTCGACCAATTAAGTCTTGCTCTGTTTCTACTGGCGTTTCGTAAACCAAAGGCTTTACATGTCCCCACAGGAAAAAATCTAGCGACGTTAAATCCGGTGACTTAGGAGGCCAAGAAACTGCCCCACCTCTGGCAATCCAACCGTGCTTGTTCAATGGAACATTTTCAAGAAGTTCTGGAAGAATTTCCTCCAAGAAACGCCGGTAAATAGGTCTGTCTGTCTGTCGGTCGGTCTGTCTGTCGGTCGGTCTGTCTGTCTGCCAGTCTGTAGGTCTGTCTGTCGGCATGTCTGTCGGTCTGTCTGGAGAGGAGAGTCGACGTTGCCAGATGGATGGTACATCGGTAGGGAAGAAAAATAATGTCGTAGGAATAATAATTGTATCGGCCTATTTGACTGACTTGATCCGTTTAATTTCGATATTATACATGTTCGTAACTACCTTTTTCCTCAGAGGCTCTGAGTTGTACCTACTGAACATAATCCAATATGACCCGATGACGGCGTTGCGTGAGAAGTGCAGTGTCAACCTATTTGACCCCATTTTTTACTTTGAATGTTCAACCAAAATTGCTTTCAAACTTAATACAAAATGATTTACAAAAGAGCTACTTCTCACCATGACTGGTTTGAAGTTCAAAGTCTGCCCCTCGTTGACGGTTATCGATGCGTATTTTTCATACAATGCCCGTAACTGAGGCAAATACACGGTTATCATGTTTTGCAACATTTTGGTCTCCCTGAATTTCTCTACTGGATAATCGTCCGTACCTCTTCTGTGCTGCACTCTGATACATCCCACGCTGATATCGCTGTCAGCGATGTTGCTGTCAAATAAACCATTCAATAACACAGCGAAACGGCCATTTTGGTGCCGAAGAGGTAAGAACTGAAATTGAGTAGTCATGACTGATTTCATGAACGTCTTCCTTTTTTTGCAACAATTGTAGTCTTTTAAGCCCGCCACTCACGATCCAACGCCGCAGTACGATTTTGCCGAATGCGGTAAAATCGAACGCAATTTGATCGTGTCTTTTTATTATCCAATCAAGTCGGTTCGATTTGACCGCAGACAAACAAGTCAGTCTGCAGCAGTACAACACTGTTTGTTGGATCGTTTAGTGATTGTGTATTACGACGTGCGATTCCATTGTATGATTTCTGTTCGGCAAACAGCAAAACACACCTAAAAACAACATAAATTTGCCACATTTTAATAATATTTCTCGGTCTACGTATATTTAAAAAATGGCTTACAATCACCGTATGCCGTGTAAGAAACCAATTTTTTATACCACCATCTACGTTTCTGATTTTTCCTTTTACTTTTAGTAATGGAAAATGCAAGAGCCGCTAAAACTAGATTTTCATCGGTCATGTTTCAAGTCAAAACTCATACTGCAAGATCGTTAACATGTGTGTCCTTATCCAATTTTCGACAAAATCGTACAGAGGCGTTAGATCGTGAGTGGCGGGCTTGAGATACTAGCGTGTTAATATTTTATTATTCGTTACAGTTAAGAACTGTTTCAAGATATGTTGATTTATTGAAGGTATATTATTGAGTCTAGACTTCGCTTTGGCATTCGCTTGTGGGATAGCTCATTCCACGCAGTGGTTATATCTCAAGAAAATATTGTGAAAAATTTAGCAAATGTATGTAACCACCACTCAAGTAGAGAGTTGTTTACAGTGATATGCATCCGCACTATACCAGGATAAATAAGATTTACCTATTTCTAACTATAAATTCAGTCAAACTTCACCAAATTACTTGGGTATAAACATTTTCAATAACCTTCCAGATATGTCACAAACGTGAAGTGCTTTAAACAAAATTTGAGAAGGTTTTTGATTGATCAGAGTTTTTACAGTATATCGTATATACAGTGTGTAAACGTTATGATATTCATTATTTAAATGGGTGATACAGGGGATTAAAAGAAGCAAAAAGTTTCATATAACATGGGGGTTAAAACGGCATTTTTTTAGAGAAAAGCGACTTTAAAGTAAAATAAAATCTGATAACGCCACAATACCAGATGCAAATTACGACGGAACGCAGTGTAAATAAAGATTGAGTTTGTTATTTTTGGATCTTAGCTATTATTTCATTATTTGATAATGTACTCCTAAAATGCAAACAATTAAAAAAACGGACATACCACTAACTGTCTCAGCGCTTCACCTGGAGTGTGAAAGTTTATTGAACGTATTAAAAAAATCCACTTATAAATACAATTTTGATACATACATTGTTTTTCTTTTTAAAACCCACACTGCACTTTTTTTGTATCTAAAGAGGGTGTTCAAAATGTCGTCCTCCACTTTCCACACAAGCTTCATTACGACCTTCATGAATGGTATGAGGATTTTCTTGGGCCCACGTGTGAGTATGGAAATTTAATATCGCGTCTCGCGTCAAAGTACATTCGTCCGTCGCTAGAATGTTTTGAAAAAAATCCGGATTTTCAATGTTTTCTGTGCAAAAACTACTGACAGAATGTTAGTCTGCGAGGATAGTCTTCTGGTAACAAGGCCTGCACTCGTTGTACATGCTAGGGATAAATCAATTTTTTTCCGTAGGATTCTATGGACTATGGTATACGATAGTCCTACGCGGCGACCTAATTCCCGAGTGCTGATATCTGCATTGATTTCCACGATATTTAAAATTTGTTCCTCCTGTTCTACAGTAACCTGTCTTTCACGAGTGCGAATGTTAGTGGGCTGAACACTTCCTGTATCTCGAAGTCTTTGGTACACTTGCACAAATGTCCTTCTGTCTGGGTATACCCGTTGGCGAAATCTGTCGCGATAAATTTGAGCTGCAAGATTTGAATTCTGACCAGCTTCACCGTAAACTAACAACATGTCGGCGAACTGTTAATTCGAGAACATTGTAAATAAACACGACGATGTACGCGAACAAAAACAAAACAACATACTCACCATTGTTACCGTTTGCGATCGATTGCTGGTTCGATAACAGTGATGTTGACCGACGCGCTGTTGTCATGTCTGTTTTAAATATTCAATTTAATGAAACTTACTGACTACAAATTTTGGATTAACTTAGAAAAACTTAGTGCCATTTATTTGTTAATTACCCAATTTAAAAACGTTTCAGATTAGATTATAAAAATTAGTAAGATTGTGGTGATTGTGGTCGATATAAGGCACTTAAAGTTGTAAACTGTAAAGCCATTCAGACAAAAATCTATTGACTTTTGGACCATGGGTCATATGAACTTTTTGACTTGTTTTGACCCCCCCCCCCTATTACCCATTTCAATAATGACTACCATAACGTTTATACCCTGTATATTTTTATATGAAGTTCTTTTCTTCTAGGACTTTTTAGTGCTTTAATTGTAAAACATTTTGTTTTATTGTCATCTGACTTGTTTAACTGTTATTTTGTCCCTGATTTGATGTTTTTATTGACCATGTTTTTTATAATACACAGGTAAATAAAGGAATTTTAATTTGAATTTGAGAAAGTATATGCCATTTCCGGTCCCTATAAACAATACGCCAAAACAAAAACTTTAATGCTGCGACGTTTCAACATAGAGTTATACTGTAGTATCTCTCGAAGCCACCTATTTATTTTTAATTACATGTACTTGACTTATCAATAATGTTTATTAAATAGTGAATGGGCTTATATCTTAATCACGAAGACGCATGCATTAAGGCAGTGGTCGCCAACCTTTTCAGTGTGTTGAGCTACTTTGATAATTTTGGAATAAACCGTGAGCTACCTAGTAGTAAGCAATGTAAGCCAACTTAAATGAAATTATGCACAGTTGTATGCGACATGATACATGTGTTTATCTTACTAATACTAATCCATACTAATAAACTTATAACTAATACTAAGGACTAGATAACTAAATCCATTCCTACCAATTGTAGGTGTTTGAAAAATAAACAAAATGTGTCGACAGCTACAATGGCATGTCACATAATGATTTAATAACGGTAACTAAAAATAGAAAAAACAACGCACTGTTTTAGATAAAAACACATCCTGTTAAAAAATGCGCGTTCAGATAATTTTTTTAATGTTTGGAGTGTAATTTGATACCGCCATTCGAATACATTTATCCAAATGTTCATGAGTCGATTACGGTTTTTTGTTTTTAATAAACTTTATATTTGAAAAAGAAGATTCAGACAAATAGGTTAAACTAAATAACGCTTTCACTATCAGGGCAATATGACATAAAACTGGATATATATCTTTTTTTAGTGAAGGCCAGATACATTTTGTGTTTGAGACTAATAGTTTTAAAGCTAAGTCATTTTGAAACGCAATCACTTCCATTTCTATCGCAGCTATGCCTTTCCATGAAATTGCGCCACTATAGCAATTTCGTTGAAATCCACGAAACAGTTTTTAAAGTTATCCTTCAAGTTAGAGACAATTTCTACATGATAGTTACTATCATATGGTTCTAACGGACTTTGAGATATCTTTTATGAAAGAACAGGAAGATGCCTGGTATCGCCATCGATTAAGTTCTGTTCCCAAAACTCAAGCTTTTTGATAAACGCTTTTATATCAGAAATCATTTCTGCTTGTTCTTTGTCTCTCCCCTGAAACTGCAAATAAAGTTCATTTAATTTTTCGGTAATATCCACAAGAAAACCAAAATCTCTAAGCCAGATTGAATTCTTCAGTTCCGGAATCGGTTCATCACGTTGAACTATGTTAGATATGATATCATTAATACGTTTCAGCACTCGTCCCCTACTTAGCCATCGGACTTCAGAGTGGAGCAGCAGTTCCCCGTATTGACAGTCAATTTGATCGGCCAAGGTTTTTAATAATTTTCCTTATAACGCTTGAGCTCTAATCTTGTTCACAATTTTTACTACCAGTTTCATAACGTTGTTTGGTTTTAGAAAATGTCCACATAATGCTTGCTGATGGATAATGCAGTGGAATCAGATAAATTGTGGAAGACTTTCATCTTTACGGCATAACCCCACGAGAACCTTGATCACGACGCACCATAGTTGGAGCGTCATCGGTTGACAAGCCTACCATTTTCGATATTGGAATTTACTCAGATGAAGTAATATTTTTAACAGAAGAAAACAAGTCCTGTCCAGTAGTCTGTCCTTTTAGTGGAATAAACTTCAAAAGATCTTCTTTAATCGTAAAATCACAAAAAACCATCCTGATGAACTCGGCCATCTGAGAGGTGTAAACGACATCTCTGTCGATTCATCCAGCTGCAGTTATCGAAGTCATTTCTTAACTGTAAAACTATATTGCTCATTACTTCTACTCGTCTCATCACTGTATTAACAGAAAGTTACATAGATTATATAGCATACACTATCTCGTCTTTATTTCTAAAGTTGGCAAATGATGAATCTGCAGCTGCTAAAATCACTTCCCCGTCTTTATAAGGTTTCTTCTTTTGTGTAATTATCTGGGACACCCGGTATGATGCTTCACTTGCAGTCCTACTTTTGCCGATTGTTTTTAAAAACTTTGCCTGTTGTCCAATTAACTGATTTTTCACTTGTATCAGTTTTTCCGTTCTGGTTGCAGAACGTAATGGGAAGGTTTTTTGAAAATTTGAATGTACAGTTCTATAGTGCCTCTCGATATTCCCAACGGAAACAGATGTATTAGATAACAAACATACATTTTTACCTTTAACTTCTGTAAAGAAATATTGTTCTTCCCATTCCGAATGGAAATGGTATGTCTTCATCTTCTTACTACTGCTCATAATGTTTTTAATTGCAGGCCAACTCTAACCCAACCGTTCGGTTTTAAACTGAGCGCACTGTCGCCGTGCCT